CGCGGACGCTTCTTCATACAATTTTAGCTTCCGGATAATATATCCAGCGAGATATTCGACCGCGTCTTCGTGAAATTGGTCTATATCATTTTCCACCCCATAATCGTCCACAGCGACGATGGAAGCATCGGATTCTGTGAGATATCCGGATGGACTTTCAGAATGCGGAATATCTCTGAGCGGAAGCNTGTACATACATGCTTGAATTGTACAAACTTTTACCCCAGATTAAAAATTGTATTGCTGAAAAAAGAAATTTCCGACATTAAAGTTTGATCCAATGAAGAAGACGATCTTAGAATTAGGGTCTTTATATATATATTATAAAGATTTATTTAAATCCTTAATTCGAAAGTGCATTCTGCATTTAAAAAAAAATTGTTTTATTGTTTCCGGCAATTGAGAGCTCGAGGATGATGTCAACATTTTTGCCATATAATTACTGCCGGTAAAAATTTTGGAGCCATTAATGTTCATGAATACTCTCTCCAACTTTTTTAATTCCTCCACAAAACTGGAGCTGGGTCTACCCAGGTAAAAGTAGTTTCCGCGGACGCTTCTTCATACAATTTTAGCTTCCGGATAATATATCCAGCGAGATATTCGACCGCGTCTTCGTGAAATTGGTCTATATCATTTTCCACCCCATAATCGTCCACAGCGACGATGGAAGCATCGGATTCTGTGAGATATCCGGATGGACTTTCAGAATGCGGAATATCTCTAAGCGGAAGCCAATCCGTTGTGTCTGCAGCCACATTTCGTCGACCCGAAAGTAATTCCATATTTTGTGCTTTATACAAATAAAAATTCGTAATACATTTTGAATATGTAATAAGTATATTGTGAATTATTTCAGGTTTTGGATAAACATATCTTACCAAGAATATATTTGCGTAGCCTATACTTGAATTGCATGGGGCTCGGATGGTCATATAACCCACCTTTTGCTCGCATCGCACCGAAGAAATTTTCTAAAATGTCTTGGTTTAGTCTATAAGTAAGAATATAACTGAAACCAAACTTATTTTGTACATAGAGGTATAGCTCTCTAAGTGATTTGTTGCTCATCAAAATCCCTTTCTGGAATGGCAACAGTTCCATTTATGTTGATGCGGCTGAAGAAGTTTATTTGCACCCTTATGTTTCCTTGTTNCCCTTATGTTTCCTTGTTGTTGATGCGGCTGTAGCAATGTGTTTGTACCCTTATGTTATGTCCTTTATCGATAAATTGTTTGTAATCCCATCACCAACCATACGAAACCAAAACGTCAAAAACTTCTAGAAAGAAAATTAATTGTGGTTCTGGTGATGGGAGTGTGAGGAGCGCACAAAAGCGTAAGTTGATTTTATATCTGTTTTGCAAAAATATTATACCATTATTGTATTGTACATGATAGGAAATAAAGCACACACACCACACAATTCACGCCAGATATACGCCTAATTGACGTGAGCTTTTATTTGACCTCCTCGGGCCAGGACACAATTC